TATGAAAGGCATGCAAAATTTAGCGTTTCAGAGGAAAAGTTTATATGTAGCATTAAACTGTATCAGTAAACTAGGGAAGGCATGATTTCAGCAGTAAAAAACAGGTTACGAACAACTGGCAATCATTGCATACCAGAAGCAGTAAAGAAAGTAAGAGCTTGTAACCAGAAATAACTCAAGAAGATGGCAGTTAATTACACCTAGAGTAAGAACCTCCCTTGGAATAGTAAACAAGATAACTTACACATACTTAGGTCTACAAAAACAACATCAGCCATGTTTACAGACGTAGCAGAATGGTATGTGATATATCACAAATGGCAGCATGCCATCACACTGGATGAAGCTTATGTCAACGTAAGTGTATACTCTATTTTTTATTCTCTTGTTTAAAAAATGAAAAAAAGAGTATGTTGGAATAGTGTTTCTAAGGAATTTGTGGTTGTTGCAGATTACAGAAGATGCATAATGCAGCCATGATGATAGCAATAGGACCAGCCAAACTAACACCCTTTGACTTCCTGCACGTTTCTCTTAGTTTTACCAGCATTATTACAAGACAAAGGAAGCCAACTGTTACTCAGAGCAATCAGAACCATATCTCACTCACTATATCAACACTTATGGGAGAGGGCAGGTTAAGCAGTAATACAAAGACTAATTGGTTAAGTCGTGGGTCAATGATATATGGAAGATATGAAGAGTATTGAATAGATCCAGGCAGAAGACATTAAGTTCAACACAGTGAAAATTTGCAACTGTATATGGAGGGAAAAGTTAGGCCTGGTCAACAAAGCTGAAGCCATGGAATGGACATACAAGTGTATAGGCAGAAGAAGAGGTAATACATCTAGTACTTGAATGGTCAATGACTAAAACTGAATTGACCAGTTCATTCAGAATAGAATGCAAAATATATATGGAATCTCTTAAGATCATAACAGAATAATATTCCTGACAGACTCCCTAGACTTCATCACAACATTGGGACTCACTTGATAATGGCCTAATGCAGGCTATAGCAGTATATCATTCAATGACAAGGTGGATGAACCATTTAACTGGTAAGGTGCATTCTTTGAGCAGAGGTCACACTGGTCAACTGGAAGGCTGGAGGAAAGAAGGTGGAAGGTGCGAGGATGATAATATGTGGAAAAAACATATGGTACTTAAATATAATTGAATTGTACATTATAACTAGAAGAACCTTGAGAAGAGACTGTGCCAAGGCTGGTGTCAAACTCTTGAAGCATAAATTAATAGTAGGAAAAATTTTAAGATCAGTTAATTTACTTTGGGTATCTGGTATCAAAAAATAAAATTAATTAAGACAAGAAAAAGTTATACTCAATAATTAATAATAAGGTTTAAAGTAAAACTGTTTGCTGCTGACCAATTGCCTCCCTGTGAGCAGTGGTTTGGAATTAGGGATGGTACCATGCTACCTGGACTGTGCACTGACAAACGTGCTTCGACTGGAATACACAGCTGGAGTGAGGAGAACCTGCACTTTGGCCAGTGCTATACTCCTTTAGCATGTAAATAAATAAATAAATAGTTAAACATCTGAAGAATTAAGGAAATGTTAAAGTGAATTCCTATCATACTGACACTATATTAAAGAAACACCACTTTGTACAAATTAGCTTCATGAAGAAGAAGCAATCAGCGGCATGTCCAAGTCAACATGCCAGTTCGACTGCTAGATGCAAGAGTAAATGGAAGCTTATGCTATATTATATACACATATCTCCCATGGATTTCTGTACTATAGGGTTACTAAAACAGTCTGTCAAAGTTTTCTTTCATGCACGGTTAATAAACTTGGAAAACATGTTGTACAAAAGCCCTCTGCAGTTGAAATTTTGCATCAGAAAAATATTACATTACCAGGGCCATCACATAAAACATCATTTGTGGTAGAGAAATGGACTGTAAGGTTTAGGTACACATCTTTGTATTATTACATCTGCTCATAAATACTCCTCCTTACCATTGTTATAGTTGTTGGTTTTTGTAATGTTTATCTTTAATTGTTTGTGTTTAGATAATTTTGATTATTGAAAAAAATTCATTTTTAACTCACATAAAATGTAGCCTTCTTTTAGTAGACTGGCTGCTTGTAACTTGGGAAATTAATATTGATACATCAGCTGTTTGTAGCTTGTAGAGGTAACATTGGTACACTGACTAGTAACTTGCAGAGCTGAATTTGGTACACTAGCTGCTTGTAACTTGCAAAGCTAACTTTGGTACACTAGCTGCTTGTAACTTGTAGAGGTAACATAGGTACACTGACTACTAGTAACTTGCAGGGTTAACTTTGGTACAATAGCTGCTTGTAACTTGTAGAGCTAACTTTGGTACACTAGCTGCTTGTAACTTGTAGAGGTAACATAGGTACACTAGTTGCTTGTAACTTATAGAGGTAACATTGGAACACTAGCTGCTTGTAACTTGTAGAGGTAATATTGGTACACTAGCTGCTTGTAACTTGTAGAGTTAACTTTGGTACACTAGTTGCTTGTAACTTGTAGAGTTAATTTTGGTACACTGACTACTAGTAACTTGTAGAGGTAACATTGGTACACTAGTTGCTTGCAACTTACAGAAATAACATTGGTACACTGAATACTAGTAACTTGTAGAGGTAACATTGGTACATTGACTACTAGTAACTTGCATGGTTAACTTTGGTACACTAGCTGCTTGTAACTTGTAGAGGTAACATTGGTACACTAGCTGCTTGTAACTTGTAGAGGTAACATTGGTACATTGACTACTAGTAACTTGCAGGGTTAACTTTGGTACACTAGCTGCTTGTAACTTGTAGAGGTAACATTGATACACTAGCTGCTTGTAACTTGTAGAGGTAACATTGGTACACTGACTACTAATAACTTGCAGAGTTAACTTTGGTACACTAGCTGCTTGTAACTTGTAGAGGTAACATTGGTACACTGACTACTAGTAACTTATTTGTAGCTGGTTTAGTTAACAGAATATACAATGTTATCATTAGTTTTCATTGCAAATATGCTATTAACTGTTTTAAGTATTATCTCTGTCACAAAACAATGTACTTTTGAGAGTGTATAGAGCAGAAGACAGAATAGCTATTGAAATTGCTATTTTTGCAGATTTGCTTTTGGCTGGTAGAAAACAACTTTAAAGTTCTGATTGCTGCCTGTGATACTTTTCGAGCGGGAGCCGTGGAACAACTTCGTACCCACTCTCGCTGTTTGAATGCCTTACATCCTCCTGAGAAACATGGGGGTTATCCTGTAGTCCAGTTATACCAGAAGGGGTATGGGAAAGATGCTGCTGGGATTGCCATGGAAGCAATTAATCAAGGTAGATAAAAGTTTTATAGTTTAACACAAGTATCATTAAGAGCAGTGTAAAAAATTGATAGTTATATATTATAGATAGATAACATAATTCAAAAAAGCGAAGGTGGAAGCTCTTACAACCAACTTTTGTCTTAAGTTTAAGCATGTTTATTCGATTGTTCTTGAAGCTGTCGTTTGTCTTATGCTCTACATTCTTAAGTAGTAGCACTTACTTTTATTCATTGTTTGTTTCAGTTTCTTTACTTACATCCAGACAAATAGTGGCCTTTTTTTGTTGACATTATTAAAGTAAAATAATTATTTATTTGCTAATTACGAGTTTAGGGGCAGTGTTAAAATATGATGTTTGTTTTAGTGACTGTGTATAAATTTAGAGAAAGTTGGCAACCTACTTGGATAAGTTGATTCATGTTACCCTTCTTACTAGTGGCCAACTCTTTAGGACTTCCTACTTTCTTTGGTGGCCAACTCTTCAGAACTTCCTACTTTCTTTGGTGGACAACTCTGTAGGACTTCCTACTTTCTTTGATACTCAAGTCTTTAGGACTACCTACTTTCTTTGATACTCAAGTCTTTAGGACTACCTACTTTCTTTGATACTCAAGTCTTTAGGACTACCTACTTTCTTTGATACTTAAGTCTTTAACACTTCCTACTTTCTTTGGTGGCCAACTCTGTAGGACTTCCTACTTTCTTTGGTGGCCAACTCTGTAGGACTTCCTACTTTCTTTGGTGGCCAACTCTGTAGGACTTCCTACTTTCTTTGGTACTTGAGTCTTTAGGACTACCTACTTTCTTTGATACTCAAGTCTTTAGGACTACCTACTTTCTTTGATACTTAAGTCTTTAACACTTCCTACTTTCTTTGGTGGCCAACTCTTTAGAACTTCCTACTTTCTTTGATACTCAAGTCTTTAAAACTTCATGCTTTCTTTGGTGGCCAACTCTGTAGGACTTCCTACTTTCTTTGGTGGCCAACTCTGTAGGACTTCCTACTTTATTTGATACTCGAGTTTTTAGGACTACCTACTTTATTTGATACTCGAGTTTTTAGGACTACCTACTTTATTTGATACTCGAGTTTTTAGGACTACCTACTTGCTTTTATACTCAAACCTTTTTGGACTACCTACTTGCTTTTATACTCAAACCTTTTTGGACTACCTACTTGCTTTTATACTCAAACCTTTTTGGACTACCTACTTGCTTTTATACTCAAACCTTTTTGGACTACCTACTTGCTTTTATACTCAAACCTTTTTGGACTACCTACTTGCTTTTATACTCAAACCTTTTTGGACTACCTACTTGCTTTTATACTCAAACCTTTTTGGACTACCTACTTGCTTTTATACTCAAACCTTTTTTACTACCTACTTGCTTTAGTACCCAAGTCTTTAGGGCTTCCTACTTGCTTTACAGGCGCTACTGGCAATGAAAGGATTAACTTGAATGTATCTCACTTTGTGTTTTAACATATACTTCACTCGAGTGTAGTTTATAGGTTGATGTGAGACTTTTGTTACATAATGTTATATCTGTTTATATGGAGATTATAGAAAAATTTGAATTTCTCTGTTTAGTAGGAGACACGTACTACGTCTTATGTTAGTCACAACATTTAAACATTTTGTTACCTTGACTATACAGTAGCCAAATGAAGTTTATGTTTTTAATTTTAGCTCGTGACTGTAAAATGGATGTCGTTCTTGTGGATACTGCTGGTAGAATGCAAGATAATGAACCTTTGATGAGAGCTTTGGCCAAGGTGTGTGTGTGTATATTTATTTTTAACTTATGTTCTGTTCATTGAAAGAAATGAGTACTGGATTTAAGTTTCATATTAACACTTTCAGTTATACATTAGTATTGTTAAAAGTGTACGTTAAAAAAATTGCTGTTTTATAAATATTTATACCTTATCTATTTACTTTTTCATATATTTTCAAATATTTTTTTGTTGGTGATATATTGGTTTAATAGTGATCAGAAGTTTTATGTGCTCACTTTTTTATGCAATGCTAGCGTACCAGACTCTAAAGTAGAGATTCTGTGGTTGAGGTAAAATTACAGAAAAAATAAAATACCTTGAACTATAGGGCTGTGTGTGCATTATAAGAGTTACTGTCAAATGCTACTGTTTGATCAGATAAGAGTAGGCAGTGGTTAATGTTGAGGTCAAATTACAGACAAAATAAAATGCCCTGCACTTTTGGGGCTGTGTGTGTGTATCATAAGAGTTGCTGTCAAATGCTACTGTTTGATTAGATAAGAGTAGGCAGTGGTTAATGTTGAGGTCAAATTACAGACAAAATAAAATGCCCTGCATTTTGGGGCTGTGTGTGCATTATAAGAGTTGCTGTCAAATGCTACTGTTTGATCAGACAAGAGTAGGCAGTGGTTGATGTTGACTTTCCTCTAGTCCGTCAGTTCAAAATTATGGATGGCTAACACAGATCGTTTTTATGTAGTTTTGCAAAAACATCCAACAAATGTATTTCTATACAGCTAATAAAATTCATCTTTAAGTTTTTTATATCTAAAGTAGCCTTTAAAGTATGGTGTTTCTGAAGATAAAAAAAATAGTCTTATAACAGAAATTTGTTAAAGTGCAAAAAAATTACCTAGGTAAAAAAAAAAAAAGTTAGTGGAAGATCAACATTCCCATGTTAATTAGTTTGCCCCAAGTTCTATGCAATTTTTTATTTCCATATTGAAGTTTTAAGCGGTTGAGATTTTATCTTCTACATTTGTTTATGGCCAGGTGGTTAGGGCGCTCGGCTCGCAATCTGAGGGTCGCGGGTTTGAATCCCCGTCACACCAAACATACTCACTCTTTTAGCCATGGGGGGATTATAATGTGACAATCAATCCCACTATTCGTTGGTAAAAGAGTAGCCCAAGAGTTGGCGGTGGGTGGTGATGATTAGCTGCCTTCCCCCTAGTCTTACACTGCTAAATTAGGGATGGCTAGCGCAGATAGCCCTCGTGTAGCTTTGCGCGAAATTCAAAACAAACAATCATAACAGATAATATTTGAAGAAGGTTGCCATCTGATGGATTTTTTTTTTCATTCAACACCCTTAACTTTTTACTTGTATAGAAGCCAACATACTTCTCCATGCGATATTTCTATCTTAAATGTTGAGGCTGATTTTGTTTCCATTTTGGTTTAAAGTGTGGAACTTCTGTGATGGAATAGGATGATGAAGGTTTTTATATTATGGAAAGTTAAAACTCAAATATGGTTAGAACTTCTAAAAAATGATTATGTTTAGCTGCTAAGTGTGGCAAGACATCACGATAAGACAGTAAATACTTCAAATGTTTTGTTCTTAACTGGTCAATTGTCTTTCACATTATTACTGTGAAAAGGATCACTTTGATAACAATTAAAAGAAGAGTCTTATGAAAAGCTGGTTCTCTTTAATACACTTAAGATTTCATCTTTAATTATTGAATTTTAGTCACATTTTGATTATCGTGACAAACTGGTTTAAAACGTGCCTTACCCTCATTTGATTCTAATTTTTGTTTTATATAGTTGTTGTTGTTACATTTATTACATAAATTGTTCTTTATTTTAAAAACGAAATATTTCAAGCTCATGAGATTATCTGTTAAAAGAAAAAAGTGTTTCTATCAAAAGTTTGGTATTGATGAATAAAGTAGGTATAAAAGATTTGAACTTTGTTTATTTACAGTTAACATTTTGGATCCATTTCAATACTTCAAAGTTTACAGAAATAATACATCTGTCCTGAGTAAATAAAATAAATCAGTGTTTATATACACAAATAGGCAATCAATGTACTTCAAAGGTCTTCGTTGTGAGCACAGGAATATTAAATGTACGTGTACATGTGTTTGATTTAAAATATATTTATATATACTCCATAAGATTATATTGTGTGTTATATTTTTTGAAAAATAGATTAAGCTTTATATATATATATATATATATATATATATATATTAACTTCTGTAATGGGAAGGACAGAAGTCTCCAGTGTGGGCATAAAAAGTTGTGTAGAAATAGAATTGGCTATTTTGTTCTTTCAGCTGATCAAAGTGAACTCACCAGACTTGGTCCTGTTTGTTGGAGAAGCACTTGTAGGGAACGAGGCTGTAGATCAGTTGGTGAAGTTTAATCAAGCCCTGGCTGATCATTCGAGTCAGGAAAAACCACATTTGATTGATGGCATTGTTCTGACTAAGTTTGACACAATTGATGATAAGGTACACAGTGGTTTGTTTGTATCATCAGTATCACTAAATATTTGATTGCATGAAGTAAATGAAATGAATCTTACGGTACCAGATAGATGCAACATCTCGTTTTCACCATTAAAACAACTATGCCATCTAAAGTAGACCCTGAAATGGTTATTGGTGTAAAAAATATTAAAATTTGATTTTTACATGTAATACAAGTTTATTTTTACACGTACATATGTTATTAAAAGCTGCTTGAATGACAAGTCATAGCTTTTTTCTCAGTGAGTGAGTTATTTTATCCATTTCTCTCTTGGAGTGTGTGTGTGTGTGTGTGTGTGTGTGATTTGTTCACTGTAATATAGGTGTTTCATATAACTGGGATTAGACATTTATGGTTTTCTTTACTTTTTTTAATGATTTCTGAAAGTTATTTTTGTATAAAAAATCTAAGAGTCACTCAAAATGTCTTGGTCTAAATTCTGCTTTTGAGGAAGCTCAAATTTATCACAGATCATACAGAGTAGATTAAATATAGACAGTATATGGACTTATGTAGATGAATGAAACTTTTTCGTGTTTGTCGGTATTTATGAGTAAAAAATATTTTTTTATGCTTTTATGACTAAGCAAGATCAACAAATGTTCTCTAGCCAAAGAGAAAAAGATAAAATAAGTTGATTCATTTTGTTTCTAGTACATTTTTAGACTGTTAGTAATAAGAAATTTAAGCACCCCCATTTATATTTTTTTTTACCTAACAGGTAGGAGCAGCTATATCCATGACATACATCACTGGTCAGCCAATAGTGTTTGTTGGAACAGGACAAACTTACACTGATTTGAAAAACCTCAATGCTAAAGCTGTTGTCCATGCTCTCATGAAGTAAACCTCTGTATTAAGAATAGAGGCTCTTCCACTAGTATAGTATTTTTCAGTGTAAAAGTACATTTGTTATGGCCAGTTGTTGCTAAACACATTAACTATTTGTAGCTTAACGTAAATCAGTGTTTTCTTCTGTAATGTTAATAGCATATTTCAAGTTTAGATGTTCAAATGAATGATTATAATGTTGATGCTTATAATTGAAAATAAATTATGAAAATGTTGCCCTCTAGAGCCATTTAGAAAGTAGTATACCAAGTTGAATAATTTCTTTAAACTGTTTTCTTCTTAGTTTTGACCTATTATACTTGATAAGTGGAAGGAATATATTTCTAGTATTGCAATGACCGAGTACATGGAAGAGATAAGTGATAAATTAATGCTCTTCATATTATTGTGATGTCTATATTAAACATTATTCATGTGTAAAATATTTTATTTTGATCTAAGAATAAGAGTTCCTTAATTAGAGTTGTTCATTTGAGAAAAATTATAATTTTTTATCACATTTTACCATAACGAGAGCACAATGTCCAGAGAAAACTCTGATTTGAAAATGTAACTCATAATTTGAGTAGTCTGTGCTCTTCTTATTTATTGCTTAAACTTTAAATATTTAATGTTTACTCAAAATGCAACAAAATATTTTTTTATATAAATAACAGTAATGTATAAATCAGTACAATTTTTGGTTTCAAAATTTGAGAAGAACATTTTTTGTAACAAGTGGTTGATTTGAGAGCAGCTTATGTAAGACATAGAATTTCTTGGTATATATTGATATAAATGACAATTCAAATAATGAACCTATTGTAAAATGAATATGCCCAACCTTTTTACAAAGCAAGTTTTAATTTCGTAGAATTGATCAGAAACTAGTTTTGAGTGGAATACAAATGTGGATTAGGAGTTTGTTATTATGTATTAAAATGTTAAATTTCCTTACCTTGTATAATTGAAAGAACAATTTTAGCATATGCATAAAAGTATTTTATTTCTTCATTGTTTTTAACACTGATACTTTTATGTGAAAACCCAAATGGAATACAAACATGATAGTTGTATTTAAGTCAAACTTTGATCTATCTGTAGATAAATAATGACTCAGCATTTTGAGTTTATACAATCACGTATATGTAACAAACTATTGTATGTTAATGATAGTCTGGTATAAATTATTATATTCATCCTCAGAGAGGCTAGCTTGCAGAATATGTTAAAAAAACAAAAATTTTTAGTTTTTGATTCTTTTCTTCTTTTCAGTGCATTATTAGCAACATTACTTTTTGTGAAATATCTATTTGTTTCATTAAAATGGCAGTTGAAACATTTGAAGGCTTTTTTCCATCCCTTATACCATCTTTCATATCAGATTTCAGAGATGGAGCTACATAAAAGTATGATATTACCATATATTCAGTGTATAGAAAAGTTATGTTTGAGTAAAGAATGTATCTATTAAAACAGTTGGTATATGGAATTTCCTTGTGTAAGACTTTTTGAGAGGTTGCTAAACTCACTGCTTCGTAAGTTTATTTAATGAATTTATTTTCCTTACCAAAACATGAATTTTAGTGAAGAAAATATAATATAGAGGCTTAATATGTTCGTTAAATCGATATTTCCGATGCAGTAGGCTAGTTGTGTCAAGTTCATGGCTCATCAGCACTGTTTGGAAGAGTGTACTAAAAATATAAATAAATAAAGTCTAGTATAGTAGTGGAATTTATACTATTTGTTTGGTTCTGCTGGAAGTTCAGTTATCTCTCAATAGATGGAGACTGTATTGAACTATTATTAAAAACCTTTACTTAAAATACAATAGAAGTAATAATGGCTGGAGACGGCTTGAATGGGTAATGAAGAA